TCTGGTAGTGGGCTGAGTGGAGGAACTTGGGAAACTCCCTTAGTAGGTCATAGCTCCTGCTGGTGAGCACATGGTCCAGGCCTGGGAGTCAGGCAGGCTGGGCAAGGTAGCTCCAACTGTTGGCTAATGTGTGGGTTGGTTTTGGAAGGGGGCAGACTAGGCAGGGCTAAGCAAACCTAAGCTCACCAGCAAGTGCAAAAACCAGGCTGGAGCACAGGTCATTCTGGGTTAGGCTGTCACACCTACCGGTTTGCATGAGCCAGGGATAGGAACAGATTGAGTAGATCCAGTTTCCAGCACCCGCCAGTGAGAGTTGGGACTGGGGGTAGGCTGGGTCAGGCCAGGCTATAGCATCCAAAGGCAAGGCCAAGACAGGTGGGAGGCTATGCCAAACTGGGTCAGAGCAACCACTGGCATGCGCATGATTTATAGCTGGGAACAGGCCCGGTTGGGGAGCTAAGGGGATGCCCTGCTGTGTTGTGGTTCCCAATGGTGAATGTAAAGGCCAGAGTGAGGGGGCTGCTGTCTAGACTGGACATGGCTGCAGTGTCCCTTAGTACAAGTGTGGACTGGGTGTGCCATACTGGGCTACATTTCAGCACCCACTGGTGCTTGTGAGAGCCAGGGTTAGGTGTAGGATAGGCTAGATCTTTGCCCTTGCTGAGCCAGGTGTGAGCTGTGTCTGGGTGTGGACCAGGCTTGGCTTGGCTGTAACACCCAACAGTAAAAAAACTGGAATGGGTGAAGGCCAGTCAGGAAAGGCCACTGCTGTTGTCAGGACAGGAGGTGAACTAAGTAGGGCTGGCCCATGAACCCACCAGTGTGTGTGAGTTCTGGCACTGGGAGAGGTTCTGAGGAGCATGGGCAACTCCTCTGTCGGGACACAGTCCCTGCAGGTGAGCACATGAACCATGATAGGGAGCAGTGTAAACCAGGACAGGGAATGGTACCAACTGGCATACATTTGGAGTAGGTCAGGGGTAAACCAAGCTGGGCCAATTCATATCACCTGCTGGTGAATCTGAGCACCAGAACAGAGTGTGGGTTGGGCCGGAATAGTCTGTAATACAAGCCAGTTCACATGAGGGCCTGGACTGGGGGCCGAATGGGCTGGGCTAGGCTATAGCCCCACCAATGTGAGTTGGAATTGGAGTGGGCTGGGCCCAAGCCGTCTACAGTACCCACTGGCAAATGTCGAGGAGAGGAGGGCCATACCAGATTGGGCCGCATTGCCCAACCAGCACACATGAGACCTAGTGGGAGAGAGGGCGAAGCTGGTAAGTGGGATGTAAAGGACACCCCTGCTGAACTACCGCTTCCACCGGAGAGCGTGAGTTGAGATGGAGGCAGCCCAAGCCAGGCAGGGCTACAACACCTGTGGGCCTCATGTGGCTGGATCAGGGGAAAGTCAGGCTGGGTTGACCGTTCCTACTGGTGTATGCGTAAGTCAAAGTGAGTGTGGGTTGGTTAGGCTTTGTTGTAGCATCAGCTGGCAGATGCCAGCACGGGGGCAAATTCTGTCACGTTAAACTACAGAACCACGTGAGGAGTGCAAGATTCGGGAGTGGGCCCAGTAGGGAAGCAGTGGGCACCTCCCGCTTAGGTTGCCAGTCTGACTGGTGAGTATGAGAACCAGGACTGGGGCGTGGCTAGAGAGACAGTGGCACCCACCAGCAGGTATGTTGGCAGGTTAGTGGGGCTGGTTGGGTTGAACTAGGCTTCAATGCCCATTGACATATATGAGAGCTAAATGGGATATGGGACAAGACAGGACCAGTTTGCTGTACTTACTGGCAAGCATGGGAACCAGGGCAGGGGGCAGGCCTGGTGGGGGTTATTGCGGATCACTCTGACTAGGCTACAGTTCCCACTAGTGTCTGTGAAGGCTGAGTGTGTGGAACGCAGGATCAGGCTGGGCAACAACATCCATTCGTTTGGGATCCCATATGGGCGCCAGTTCTATCCCGGCAGCCCCGCTTCCCATCCAGCTCCCTGCCTGTGGCCCGGGAAAGCAGTCGAGGACGGCCCAAAGCTTTGGGACCCTGCACCCGCGTGGGAGACCCGGAAGAGGCTCCTGGCTTCAGATCGGCATAGCATCGGCCCGTTGCGGTCACTTGGGGAGTGAATCATCGGACGGAAGATCTTTCTGTCTCTCCTCTCTGTATATCCGCCTTTCCAATAAAAAAATAATAAAAATAAATCTTTAAAAAAAAGATTTATTTAAAAAAAAAAAAGACTGAACTGGAGACAGAACTGACCCAGCAATTGCAACCGCTAGCTGTAATGGACTGTGCTGGACCCTGTACTGGTAAGCACAAGAATCAGGTCTGGGATCACCCCAGATGAAGTTTCTCTGGGGATACCCCCAATTGAGCTGCTGGATCCTGAACATGGAGAGAGTTGAAGGTTCCATGATCTGACTATGGTGTGCATGTGTCAGAGCTGGGTCTCCTTGGTGGCTTAGACGAAGCAGTGGACAGCATATCCAGGTGCACATGGAGGATGTGGCAGACATTGGAGTCTGCAGAGGACACCTAATACCATAACAGAGGATGGAGGACAGAACAAATTGATCAACTCAACTAACCGAGCCAAGTGTTGGCAGTGAATATCTGGGCAGAGACTCAAAGGTGGACTATGTCAGCCTGTGGATTCTGGAGAGATTTCATCGTGCTTGGAGTGGTGAGACTGGCAGTAATTTGGAACTGTTGAACTATCGAAACCTCATGAGCAGTGCCCTCAGAGCATGGCCCACATCGACAGCCTGGGGTGGCGTTGGATGGCTGCCCTCCATCCCAGGGTGCAGAGGCATTTGGGAGGCTGGCTGGGTGTGGCTTCTCTCCTTGTGTCTCCCCTCCCCCCAGATACAGGAAGGAAAAAAAGAGAATGTGGAAATGGTGATCTCACCCACTTTCCTGCAGCCCTAGACCCTAATCACCCTAATAAACTATGTAAAAATAATCACAAATAAAAATAATTAATAATTAAAAAAATAAAGTTTTACATCTCTGAGCACTCTGCTTCCAGCTACAGCCTTCCTAGGGCGCTTCAAGCAGTCTGTAGGAAATGGAATAAAAAAGTAAGCTTACTTTAGTCCAATAATTTTGAAGTCAAGGCATAGTTTTTTTCAAAATACAAATTTTCTATGAACATTTTAAAAAAGACTTATTTGTTTTTATTGGAAAGTCAGATTTACAGAGAGGAGAGAAAGAAAGATCTTCCATCTGCTGATTCATTCTCCAAGTGACAGCAACAGTTTGATCTGAACTGATTCAAAGCCAGGAGCCAGGAGCTTCTTCCAGGTCTCCCACATGAGTGCAGGGTCCAAAGACTTTGGGCCGTCCTCAACTGCTTTCCCAGGTCACAATCAGGAAGCTGGATGGGAAGTGGAGCAGCTGGGACATGAACCGGTGTCCATAGGGGATTCTGGTGCATGCAAGGTGAGGATTTAGCCACTGAGCCATCACAATGGGCCCTGTCTTTTCTCTTTCATAGCCAAACTCTTATCCTCAGCCCTAGGGACCCTGTCCCTGCCACTGTCACCTTGGCTCCAGACCGGCTCCAGGATCCCTAAGTGTTGCAGAAGGGCTGCAGGAGGGGCCCTTCCAGCACCTTCTTTTCCTGGTTTCCCTCCTCTCTCGTGTGCCCCTGGGGGCAGTGCCGCCATAGCACTGTGGGTAATCACCAGGAGTGCAGACCTCAGCCTCAGGCTGACCGTCTCCCTGGGCAGGATGCTTCTGCTGACTCATCCAGGATTTAATAGGCACCTGTGACGGGTGCAGGATGTAACAGGCACTGGGCACCTGTGCCCCAAGCTGTGGTTTCTACCCAGGCTTCCTTTCGAGCGCACCTGCCACTCCCATCAGGCTGTCATTGGTGCCTCCACCTTGACCTCTGGCTGTCCAACCTTGTCCTCCGGCCGCCCACTACTTTCACAGACCAGGAAATGCTAAGGAACTTTCCTTGAATATAGGAAGAAAAAAAAAAAAAAAGAATCAGCAGCCTGGCAGTGTCGTCGTGTGTTTTTGTCTAAACCTGGCTGCGGGCTGTCTGGCTCTGTGCTGTTATGACAACACAGGCTTGGGGAAGAGTTGCCGTAGGTGGCAGAGTGCTTCCGGAAGCGTCTTCTTACTTAACATACAGACTTGACACAAACTGTGTAATACACACCATCAGACTCAACAGCTTCTGCTTCTCCCCTTCAGGTCCCAGGATGCAGACCACAAAGAGGGGTGAAGAAACCAGTGTGGGCAGAGTGGGGTTGGACCGGCTGCAGCCAGCATCTCACCTCTGCAGAATCTGCAGGAATATTCAACCTGGACACCCACCGCTGCGGCCTCAGCCATGTCTCCAAGGACGTCTGCTATCCCCTCACGCTAGGGCCAGAGGATGCCAAGGTCCTCTCGCAAAAGGAGAGCAGTGCTTTGAAAACCCACTATGAGGGCCCAGTGTGATAAGGTAGTGGTTAAAGTCCTCGCCTTGAACGTGCCAGGATCACTGGTTCTAATCCCGGCAGCCCCGCTTCCCATCCAGCTCCCTGCCTGTGGCCTGGGAAAGCAGTGGAGGATGGCCCAAAGCCTTGGGACCCTGCACTCATGTGGGAGACCTGGAAGAGGCTGTGAGCTCTTGGCTTCGGATTGGCTCAGCTCCAGCCGTTGCAGTCACATGGGGAGTGAATCACTGGATGGAAGATCCTCCTCTCTGTATATCTGCCTTTCCAATAAAAATAAATAAATCTTTAAAAAAATAAAATAAAAGATTATGATAAGTGAACAAAGTCAGGCACTAAAGCCTGCATACTATATAACTCCATACAAAATGCCTGGAATAGTCCAACTCGCAGAGACAAACAGCAGATTGTTAACTGCTGGGAAGTCTGAGCGGGGGCGGGGGAGGGGGGAGCGCTGGAGGAAAACAGCCAAGGGACGTGGCTTCTTATTTATTTACTTGAAAAGCAGAAGTAAGGAGAGAGAGAGAAATAGCAAGATCTGCCACCCACTGGCTCACTCCCACACAGCTGCAGTGGCCAGACCAGCGCCAGGAGCCCGCAGCTCCATCCAGACCTCCCACCTGGTGGCAGGTGGGCTGTGTTACATTGTATCAAAGCAGGAGTGGTCACTCCTATATGCCTCCAGGTGTATCATTAGGGAGTTGAATCAGAAGTGGAACCACTGGGACCTGAACCGACACTCATCGTGTTGTTGTTATAGGCGGCTTAACACGCTGAGCCACCGCACAGGCCCTGGGATACAGCGACCTTCAGCGCTGATGGAAATGTTCTAAAGTTGCCTCTGGTGGTGAGTACACGACTCAATGGATAAACCTCCCTTGCCATGCAGGCAAGCGGTCAATTTGTTTGGTATGTGAACGATGGCTCAGCAATGCCAGAAACAAACACCACCCCAGATCAAAACCCTGTCATGGGGAGGTGCCACTGTGTGCCATCTTGGGTAGACTTGGAGTTCAGGGCTGCTCCCATGGAAACCCCCATGTGGATGGAGCAGCTTGTGACCAAAGCAGGACCAACGTAAGCAGCTTCCGCAGGGTAAGGGGTCAAAGCCATGGTGTCCAGCAGGTGTCCAGTGCAGCGGCTCAGCTGTCACTTAGGATGCTTGCAGTTCAGTTCCAGCTTCCTGCCAATGCACAGGGAGATGGCAGGTGATGGCTCAAATACCGGGATCCCTAACATTCATGTGGGAGATTTCTGGGCTCCTGGTGTTAGTGTGGCTACTCTACTTCTGATCTATTCCCAACCAATGTGCCTGGGAAAGCAGCAAAGGATGGCCTGTACCCTCAGGAGAGAGCTGGATGAAGCTCCTGGCTCCTGGCTGTGGACCAGCCCAGCTTTGGCTGTTGCAGCCATTTGGGGAGTGAACTAGTGGATGGAAGATCTCTCTCCTTCTCCCTCTGTAACTCTGCTTTTCAAATAAATACATATTAAAAAATGGAAACAAATCAGAACTACATTCCCCAGGGATCTAGGCACATATGTCCCCGCAGTCTCAGGCTGCAGGTGACTGGGGAGTGAGCAGGAATGCAAAGGGACAGGCTGTCCACAAAGCAGGAGTGGTCACTCCTGTATGCCTCCTGCTGTCCTCTCCCCCAGGATACCAGATTTTCCATCTGCTGAGTCACTCTCCAATAGCCTCAACAGCTGGAGCTGGGTCCATCTGAAGCCAGGAGCTTCCTCCAGGGCTCCCACCTGGGTTCAGGGGCCACGGGCTTTGCAGCATGCTCACCATTTCAAGGGATAAGCAGGGAATTGGACTGGAAGTAGAACAGCTGCCTACAGGCAATGCCAGAGGTGCCAGAGCTGAAAGCTTAGCTGCCCTAAGGATTAACTTATTTAAAACTTTTTTTTTTTAAGAATAACAAAGTATGTTGGAAAGAATGCAGGCACTTGGGCCTTGCTCAGGGATGGAGTGGGCCACGTAGGTCAGGGCCCTGCATCCTGGTCACAGGAAGAGAAAGTGCCTCTGTATTGCCACAACCCACATTAGCCCCCCTAGTTCATTCCCTCCTCGGAGATTTCCGACCATCAGTCTTAGAGGTTGCTGAAGGGTGCAGGTTAAGGCTCTAGGGCTTGCCCGTCTCTCACGAGCCAGAGAACTCCCGCTCAGAGGCAGTGGCTGTCTCCCGCCGCCTCACCTTTGCCATCAGAGGTTGTTGACCTCTTTGCACAGGAATCAGCCACGGAGGTAGCCGAATCATGCAGCGTGTGCATCAAGGCCAGACCACACGCCCACAGGTTCCGGTTCCTGAGATCCCCAATGCTGGAGACCCTGACGTGTCTGAGGACAACCTGAGACAAAGTCATGGGCTGCTTGCTGACGCCAAAAGCCATGTACGTCCCTCCATTCCACACCTGCAGTGGCTGCTGTGGCCTGGTCTGGGGAGGCCTGAGGTGCCGACTCTGCCAACCGAAAAGCCTCAGTGGGCCCCACCCCAGCCTGCCGCCAGCCCAGCACACCACTCCCACGGCAGGTGCTGGTCAAGGATCTCAGCCTGCCATGGCGTGTGCTGGCAGGCCTTTCAGCCTTCCCCCGCCCGCTGGGCAGCCTGCGCAGCAACAGGTGCTAGCACAAGCAAAATATATCCTTAAAATGTTTAAATTTCCATATCCTGTGCAGCCTGGGCAGTTCCACCCCAGCTCATTAGCATTTCCATTTCCTGATCTTTGCTGTTAGGAGTGTTCATGTAACACTTGAGTGGCTCTCCATAAAATAAAGTGCATCCGTGTAGGCCCCCAGCGTGTGGTCCCCTGCATGGAGGCTGTAGGATGCTGGCAGGGTCCTCTGGGTCGCGGTGCCTGGCCGGTGACCTGTTCAGACTGTCCCTACACTAGGGACAAGGTGCATGGAGCGTTTTACCCACTCACACCTCCTGCTGTTGGGTGACACCCCTCTGTTCCTGTTTGCTCACGGGGAGAGGAAATGTGGATGTGGCTGGCTGAGAGGTGATCAGGCAGAGTCCTGCTGTGTGGCCAGCACCCCGCAGAGCTCTCACCCTTGGCCACCTAATACAGTAGCCCAGGGAAGATGACAATGGAGCCAGAGGACTGTGGTGGGGCTGGAAGGGTAGGATGCAAAGTTCTAGAGTGATAAGGTTGGACACTTGGCTGCAAGTCTGCTGGGCCCTGCCTGAAAGGGCCTCCTTCACGGCCACACCTACAGCAGCTGAGATGGGAGAGGGAAACAGCTGTACCAGGAGGCAGTGGCCTCAGCTGGAAACCACCCGAGAGCTGTCCGCTGCCTGGACATGCTGGCCAAGTGCCGTTCCCTTTGGTGCCTGCCAACAGGGACGATGCCTTGGCCGGTGCAGACACAGCCCTGTCAGAAGGGACCCTGGTCACTGGGAGTGGGCCTGGCTAGACAGGCAGTGGCACCCGCTGGCATGGGTGAGGGCTGGAGGGTGGAATAAGTTGAGTTGAGTTAGGCTTCAATGTCCAGTGCAGAGATGGATGGGATGTGGGACAGACCGGACCAGTCTGCTATACTTGCTGGCAGGCACAGAAACCAGGGCTGGGAGCTGGTCCAGGGGAGTTATTGGGAGTCACTCTGATGTGCAGCTCCTCGTGGTGTACATGGTGGGCTGGGTTGGGCAGGGCTGTAGCACCCATTGGTTTGCATTAAGAGATGGGGCTGGAGATAGATCTGACCTAGCAACTGAACTCTCAGTGTGCGTGTGTGTGTGTGTGGGCTGAAGTGAGTCACAGAATGAGCCAGACCGCATGCTGGCGGGAGCACGTGGGAGTCACGTGTGGGATCCCTTCGGATGAGATTTCTTTGAGGCTCCCGCCAACTGAGCCGCTGGACTCAGAAGTCCAAGCATGGGGAGAGTGGCTGCACCCATGGTCTGACAGCGCAATGCGTGTCTGAACGGGGCCTCCTTAGTTACTGAACAAGGAGCAGTGGACAGCATGCCCGGATGCACACGGAGGATTTGGCACTGGGGCCTGCAGAGCACATCTGGTATCACAACAGAGGAAGGAGGGCAGAACAAATTGGTCAATTTACCCCAGAGAAGTTTGACAGCAAATTTCTGGGTGAATGGAGACTTTTAAGGTGAACTGTGTCAGCCAATGGACCTTGGAAGGAATTCCTTATTCTGAGATCTGTGAGATCAACAGTATGTCAGAACTATCGAAGCCACCTGAACAGAACCCTCAGGACATGTGCCACATCAGGGACCCTGGGTTCCTGACATGGTTGGGAGGCTGGGTGTGGCTTCTCCCCTTCTCTCCCCTGCCTCCCCCAGCCCCCGATACAGAAGGAAGGTGTGGGAATATTGCTGTCACCTGCTTTTCCCTGGTCCTTGATCCTTGCCACTTCGATCAACTATGCAAACATCATCAAAAAAAAAAAAAAAGAAAAAGAAAAATTAAAAATTTCAAAGAGGGTCCCTGATCAACAGCAGGCTCAATGAGACTCCTCTGTGGGCAGGGAGCCCCTCTCTCTTAGCACCCAGCCCACCCTGCCCATGGCCAAAGTCCCTGAGGATAGCTGTTGTCCCTGGGCTGCCTCGTGTCCCCACACCCTTGCACCCCAGCAGGAAGTCATATGGCTTGTTGAAAACTGTTTAATAAGAGCAGGAAGGGGGGCACTCTGGGGTGCAGGCTCTGAGAGGTGGGGGTTCCTGGACAGTGACTGTAGCCAGTGACCTTTCCCCTGCCTGCTGGGAAGCTTGTCTGGCTGTCCAGCCAGCACAGATGATTGCCAGGTATGGGACTGTCACTGGAGCCAACTCTGGAGCCCGCTCTCCAGGCAGCGTGCAGCAGCCTGGCTGATGCCACTGGGTGAAATCACGGCTTAGAGCTGCCGGCCCTGTGGGGCCACTGGGGCAGCACGGGCCTCTGGGGTGGGCTGGGCACTTACTCATCCCATCCCCCGTGCCTGCAACACGCTGGCTTGTTTTTCTTCCTTCCCCCTCTCTCTCTTCCTCTTGAGAATGGGTGAATACTGCCAGGAAAAATCAAAATCCAGAATCAGATCGCTGGATCAGCACCTGTTGGTTGTCCCCAGCAAGACTCCAACTGTGAGGTTTCCCCCCCACATTCCCTCGGAGGAAGGAGATGGGGGTCGCCTAGGGGGCCGTGGACCCCAGTTGCATCCTGCCTCCCAGATAAACAGGGTGGAGCTTCATTTAAGTTTACCAGATTGGCTGGAAGCCCCCACCCCACTGCCCCTCTTGGGACACAGCCTCGAAAAGGTGTCCTGCAGGGCTCAGGGCCAGGCTGCGGGTGTCAAGGGCCTGGGAGTTTCATTTTGTGGTCTCTTTCCCTCAGTAAAACAAAATTAAAAACTAGATTAACTACATTGGTAGAACCAGGGTGCAATAATTATAAGATATATATCTCTATATAATATTTACTGATTTATTCAAAAGCCAGAGCAACACAGGAGACTGAAAGAAAGAAAGAAGATTCCTTCCCCCAAATGGCTGCGACAGCCCAGGTCGGTCTAGGATGAAGCCAGGAGCCCGGAACTCCATGCAGTTGGGCTGCAGGGGCCCAGGCACTTTGTCCATCCTCCACTGCTCTCCCAGGCGCATTAGCGGGGTGCTGGATCAGATGGGATTCAGGTGCCAGGAACAGCTGCCTAACTCGGCTCGCTGCCCCTGCGGCCCCGGGATCTGTTTGTGGTAATGACATCCTAATTGAATCAAGGAACTGAAGCCTGTTTGTGGGGTCTTGACAGCACCACGGCCCTGTGCCCCTGGCTGGTGGCAGCAGCCAGGCTGGCGCTGCAGGTGCCTGCCTCTGCAAGCTGCTTTGTTCCTGGCTAGTGTCCCGTGCCAGGGCTTCCTGTGCTGCTGATTCATACGTGAAATTGTGTTTCTTTTCCTGACAGACCTTGGGTGGGTGTCCTTGCCACCCCCAACCCACAGAGGGGGGAACTGAGAAAACCGGGACTTGTGGGCGTGAACTTGGAGTCCGCCACGCCCCACAAGCCCTGCTTGTATGCCTCTTCACCTGTATTTAAAAGGTTTACTGCCCATGGGTCATTGTCAAAGTCATACAGAGCTGCCAGGAGCCTCTGTTAATCAGTAGCTGGTGGCACTGGGCCCAGTGGGCACTGCTGGGAGCAGTAATCCCAGGAGAGCCCAGCTTGGCCTACCAGCCCGTCCCATGGCTCTACCCCGGCTCCCCTACCTTGCTCACTCTGGCCCTGGCTGCATCTGGCCAGGACCTGCTCTGGACTGGAAGCCTCCGTGTCCCTTCCTTGAAACCCTGGTGCCATAAATGTACAGATCAATGTTGTGGCATCCCCTTCAATGTTTGATGAACACACCCTGCCTCTCGCCCTCTGGCACAGGGCGGCCCTAGCCAGGCCTTCACCAGGCCCAGCCTCACACCTGCTCTCAAGGACTCTGGAACTAGCTTGGCACAGAAAAGAGGGATGTTCTAGGTTGGCAGCATCCAGCCCAGCGCCCTGGGGAGGGGTGGCTGTTGCTGCAGCCAGAAGTCCAGGCTGCCTGGGAAGACACGGTGGCCACAGAGGGAACCAGGGTGCAGGCAGCATTCTGTTCCAGGAAGCATGCTTAAGGCCAGTGACACCTGGCTTGCTGTGCATAAGAGGCAACACTTAGAGCATGGACCAAATGCTACAAAAGCAAAGATGCAGAGGTAATGATGACCTCTTGATCTTCCCATGCAGGAACGCCTGACAGAGGAGACCGAGCAAAGAGGATTATTTGAGCTGGCTTTTGTGGTATGAAGAGGAGTTTGCTGGGTCACGAACTGGGGAGCAACGGTGTATTAGGGACAGAGAAGAGAAGGAGTCAAGAGGTGGGAGCCCGAGATGGCACCTGTTCAGTCCCAGTCCACTAGGGTTCATTCACATCTCTTTCTCACAGCTCTGTAGCTTACCCCCAGGTCTGTGTGCCCAGGGTTAGGGTCAGGCCTGACACACCAGGACTCTTAGAAGGTATTGATCGTCAGAGCGCAGTGCCCATGGAGCCATCTGTGCAGCTGGAGAGAGGAGCTGAGGCCAGAGAGCTGAGGAGGCAGTGTGCGTGCCCGCAGGGCTCAGCAAGGGAGCTGCACCAGGCTGGTGATGCACGCCCCCTGGGCCACGGGGCCCCTCGGCTGCACCAGGTCTGGGCCTGAGCGCGGATCAAGGACAGCAGAGGAGGGAGCAAGGATGGGTCGGGTTGGCAGTCCGGGCTGGTGGGCCGAGCCCCAGGAGGCAGGAGGCAGGAGGCAGCCGTCCCCACCCTGGACGCAGGAAATCACTCAAGTCTGTGAAGCTGGTTCAGCAACGGATCAAGAAGGAAACTCACCTGATCCTGTTCGGAGCTGGGGAAAGAGAGTCTCCTGTTTGTAATGGTCCATTTTTCGTGACTGTCACAGCTGCATGCTTATGGGAAAAAGGGGGTTTATTGTGCTCACAGTTCTGGAGGATGTGGCGTCAGCGCTCCCGTGGATGACATCGCCTTCCGGAAGCCCCTAAGGCAGGGGCGTGGCCACGCTTGCTCAGGAACTGCTCCCATCCCTGCAGAGAGCAGAACCCGGTGGGTTAAGGCAGCCCCCCTGTCTTAAAGGCCCCACATCATCTCCTAGCACTTTGGCCCAGGGCACCACACCTTGCACCGTTGGGGCCAGTCCGCATCTAAACCACCAAGGCAGTCGATCTCTTCTAGGTGGGACAGCAGTGGCGGGTGTCTGCCCTAGCCCCTCCCCTGCTCATCCAGATGCCCCCAGTGCTGGGTGTAAGATTCGCCGACCAACAGGGAAAGAACACCATTTAATGGCCTTTATTCCAGGGAACCACGGTCACCGGCTTCCCTTCCCCGTGTAGCAGAGAGATGTGAAGGAGAGGGCTACAGATGGAGAAGAGCCAGGGAGAGAGGTGCAAAGGGCTTTTTAAACTCCCCCCGACACGGAAGCTGCAATGGGGGTCGCTTCAGCTTTGGCCCTTCATTGGTGGAGCAGTGATTTCACCGCCTCAAGCAGCTGCCACCAGAATTCCGTCCTTCTGGGTTGGGCTCGAAGCAAGCTCTGCCCTCCTCCAGTTACGGGGCAACCATCTCACTGGACAGTAGAGTACAGCCCTGCTTGGGACTGACACTGGCCGGGCAGTAACAGAGCCCTCCTGTGGGGACTTGGCGAGTGGGCCAGACTGTGGCTATGTGGGGCTTGGAAGGACATGGAGAGTGAAGCCCATTGGGGCTGGCACTTACGCTCATGGGTAAGACACCAATATTCCACACTGGCAAGGCTCCTGGGTCCCAGGCTCGGCTCCTGATCCAAGGGGCTGAGTCTGCCACACTGGTGGGGTATTTGTTGGGTATTTGTTGAGAGCACTCTTAACAAGTATTTTTAAAAAGATTTATGTATTTATTCAAAAGGCAGAATGAGAGAGAGAGAGAGAGAGA